TGATATATAATGAATCTTTTTTTTTTTTTTTTTGTTGCTTTTTCCATCTTTGACAAATTAAGAATATTTGGGGCATTTCAAATATTATGCCAGTATTGTGTAATTCATATAATATGGTTATTAAATGATTTTCTATTAAAAAATGCCAAAAATTTTTCAATAGAGAATTGTTTAAAAACCATATAAAATTTGCAACATTAACTATAGAATCTCATTTTTTGATTGATACTTTTTTTTCTTAACACAGTAAAATAGCCCGAAATGTTAACTCTTTAAATTTCTTTCAGGCACCTAGCAGTCTTCTCGATGCGTTGGAGCAACACCTGGCCTCTTTAGAAGGAAAGAAAGGTGCTGTCAATGCATCTACAGCAGCTGCTAGGTAAGTTTATTCTAATTGATGTATTTGTACTTTAAGTTTACAAAGGACTTTCAGAATTGGAAAATGATTTGCAAACCTTTCAACTTGTGTTGAATTGTTTAATAATGTAACTAATTTTCTAATTTTACATTTTTTTGTATTAACTTTCAATATCCTAATAAATGATTGATATTTACAGATAATCAAATGTAAAGCATTGCAAAAATTGAAATTTATTTATTTCAATTTTTTGTTTTACAGAAATGATTTTATAGAAAATGAAGATTTAAATTTGATGGGCTCTAATCTTAGCAATAATATTTAGATGCTCTACTTCAGCAGATTATATAAAGGAATGTTTTTGTATTTCAGTGAATCTTTTATATAAATGAATCCTTGATCAATTTTGAAAAATTAATCACTTGCAATCAATCCTTCATACATCCAACAAAAATGAAATCAATTTTCATGATTACTTAAGGGAATTAACAAGTTAAAATAGCAATAAGATCTTTAATTTAAAAATACTTATTCAAAAAAATAACAATATACAACTTGAAAAGAAATGAACAAGTGTTACATTAATATGAACTGATGCTACCTCAACCAAAAACTCATGAAATGGATGGCCATTTCATAAATTGAAAAACAAAATGGCTTAAGTCATAAATTAGCTGTATAAATAAAAATTTGAGAAATGTATTTAACTTAAATGTTAGAAGTAAAGCTTAGTGTTTGTGTAATACAATGAATTTTATTTAAATTTTTATATTACAGTTAGTATTAGGTATAATTTTTTTTCAGTAACTTATCACACAAGGAGATTTCTATTGATATAGTCTTTATTATTTCAAAAAATTTTTTACTATTAATAATAATCAGCTAACTTAAATTAAAAACTTGGGCAATTGACTGGATATATAAAAAAAAATTGCTTAAAAAAGGTTGCTGTATAAGATAAAAATAAAGTAGATAAGTAAAAAAATATTCAATAAAATTAAAAATTTTTTTCTTAAAATAACATCATTTCTACTACTTGGTAGATGGGTAAAATTACGAGGTGGTAAGGTTCAAAGCAATTTTTTTTAAAAATTCAACATTTTTGAATGAAAGTAATAAATAAAAGTAAAAAATTTTTTAAAAACTTTCTTCAAAAAAGTTAAAGTTAAAAGCTCTTAAAACCATTATATAATTGCACAAATTACTCTGAGATTAACATAAATTGACAAAAAACACAACAGTATTATAACCAGATGGGGGAGGGGATTTGGATAGGATCTCCAATAGACTGTTAGAAAGTGGTTACCAGATCTCACTAATAGTTAAAACCATCATTTAAGTTCATTTTATATTCATTTATTTTTATAATTTCTAAATGTTCATATAATTTCCTTTTTAATAATTTTTTTTCTTCTTTTGAGTATTTTGATATCAAGTGAGATCTTGTAACCTTCCCTGTTACAATGTATGACCACTGCTGAATTAGTATAATTATATTTTACAGCATGTAAATGTTCTCTTAGTCTAGTTTTGGGGCTCTTATAGTTTCACCTAATTTATTGATAATTTGGTTGGCAACTGCAGGAATTTCTATATACATTGTTGCATCATACCAGTATTTTGAACAATACTTTTAGTTTTTAGCAATTTTTTTTTAATATTAAATACTGGAGCTAGAGCTATATTGTACAGTTTTCAGTTTGACTTTTTGAAATGCTATAAGAATGTTTTTCTATAGGTCATTTGAATAGGTATAATTGTATAAGGTATATTTTAGCTGCATTAAAATTTCTAAAATTCAAGTTATCATTTTTCTTAATTTAAATTCTCCCTTAAATTGAAATATTAACTAAATCTTCTAATATTACAAAAATTCATGTATAAAATTTTGCAGTTATGTTTTTAATATTATCTTGCAACATTAATTCATATAATGCTTTAATTTCATATTGTGAATCTTGATTTAATAGTCTGAGGTGGAATAATTCATGTTACTCAGCTCAAATAAGTCTTGTGAACTTAAATTTTATTTTTTTTAAATGTTAGAACATTTTCATTAATGCTTTTCAAAAGAAAAAAAAAAAAACTTAGAATATCTGAATGGAGATCTTCATTTTCTATAAAAATAAATTTCTAACTGATGATGATATATAATCAGAAAAAAACTTAAATCAATTTTACAAATTGATTTGTAGCCCAGTTTGCTTTTGCAGTGTTATTTTTCATCATTTTTCTTTATCCATTAGTTATTTATATAATTTTATTTATCAATTTGTTTTGTATGTTTATTTTGCATGCTTATATATATTATTTCCTTTTTCTTTTTTGCCTTGTTGTTGTTTTTATTTTGATACCGTTTGGATCAAACCATTTTTGTTTGTGGCATGATTATATGAAATAAGGGCTACCAATTTGAAAAATGCAGTGTCAGCACTGACTTCCACAAGTAGTTCTTTCAGCAGTGCCAGTGGCAATGGTCCTACATCAGAAATGAATGGTGGTAAAGTTGATGAAAGTCTTCGTCGTGCTGTTGAAGAGGAAGCGGCTGTCATGAACCAGTTAAAGGTATGTGTATTCTGTATAACTTTTTATTTTGAAACCACATATAGCAAATTACTATCACCGAAAACTACATGAACATATTTTTTTTAGACAGCATACATAAACAATGCTATTTACATGTTCTTTTAAGGAGTTTATGAATTTTTTTAGTGTGATTGTATTAGTCATTAAACAAGACACTTCTTATTGTAATTTTAACGATGTTGCATCCAAAAATATTACTGACTTGAAAAGATGTATTCAAAAGCTACAGGTTTTAATTTCTAAAATGTTCAGATGTTTTTAGATATAGAAATACTTGATTGTAGTTGTGTTGGCATTATTGCATTTTTTAAAGCACAGTTTAAAACAAAATATTTTCAAGTTTAAATTTGAATTATAACCCAAAAACAATTTTTTTAAAAGGTATAAGCAGATAACCTGTTTGTGTGTCATTTGTTAACTTTAATTCTATAGATGTGTAGTATAAAACATTAGAAATCATTGTGTGAATATTAGTAAATTTGCACATCATTTTCATTATAAAATATTTCATAATTTTATGAATAGTCTTAATATCATAGGCAGTCTCCCATTTTAAAAGCTTAAGTTATTAGGTTGTAATTGTAATCTATTCAAACAGTCTTATAATAATAGGGCCAATAACATGTAGCAAAATATTGACCTACTTCAAGCACGACAAGTGAAGACAAGATTTCATTTTTCTGGCACTGAAAAGCTTACATGTTTGAATTATAATTCATAGATCACTATCTTAAATTAGCATTTGGAGCATTGACATTAAATCTAATTGTTTTGATATGTATTCCTGTTCCTTACAAATCTCTCCGTAGATCTATATAAAAAATAATTTTCCAATTCTTTTGGATCCAAGATTTTATATAATGTTCAGATTTGATCATTTAGAATAGTTCTCATTAAACAATTTTGTTAAATTCCTTCCTCAGTTATGACTGTTCTGTCAATTCACACTCAGTGTATTGAGTTCTTGTGGAAACACAATCTATGATGATTAACATTTCACTATTTATAAAGTTGCAAGCATAATGGAAAATACTGTTATGCAAACTTGCTATTGTGTTGTACTTGTTTTTTTATTTGAATACTTAAAATAAGCAAACTTTTCCAGTGTATATTTTTCTACTTTCTTTAGAAGAACTTTAGAATTAGAGGCCAGTTATAACTAAAATAATTTTGAACATGTTTGGCATATCTTGCGAAACTGTACTATTCTGTTAGATGAGCAGATTGTTTAATTGAATTTTTCAGTTTTCTTCATTGGGTGAACATAATGAAATTTTTAAGTTAACTTTTTTTCCATAAATTTGATTGTTTTCAAAGTTCATCATATCATATATGGTAAAAAATCAAACATTTGTAAGTAGTTTGCAAAACTTGAGACTTGAGAGAACTTAAAATCAGTGAAATTGAAGTATTTAACCAGTGTGCATGATCAATGATGTTTAAGTGACAAGATACTATTACTCTGCTGAACTTTTTATACCAATAGTTGTGCAGTTTTGAACAACAGTGAATCCCAACAGATCTTTGTTTTTTGGGTAAAAAGACGACAAATAAAGTTGTTACAACTACTACAGTAAGTTGAATGAACTTCAGTTAAGTTTATTACTGAACATGTCCTACCTTCCAGCAAATATTCTGTGGCTTTATAAAACCTTTCCAGTGCAGAACACAGCTTTATTACTCTGGACATTATTTTCAATTACACAGACATATGGAATACATTGATTAAACAGAAATTACTGTATTTACTCATAAAACGATCTCTCATATAGGATGAGGTGTGACTTTAAAGATCAAAGTAAATAAAATGTCAAATGCACATAAATGCACACATTGTCCCGTGAAAATTACTGCATTTTAAATTTAAGGAAAAATCTTGTAAAATTGACAAAACATAATTTGTTCATGTAAAGCTAAACAATCGGGAATCTTTTTTGCCAATTTTTAACAGTCAAATCTACTCTGTTGATTACACTTATGAGTTTCTCCGAATTTTGATTTCTGAATAATCATTGTTTTGACATGGGAATGGATTAAATATTATATCGAGTTTCCATATGATTTTGGAATTTCAAATTGGAATTCAATTCAAAAGCTTTGCTTTTCCTATTGCTATTCATCTTTACTCCTGACAATACACAAGAACGATAGAAACAACCCAGATAAAATACTTTTGTTTTTAAACACCGGAGGATGAGCATCTGGTAAAAAATGCAAACACGTAGTTCACAAAAATTATTGCAGAAATGCAAAGAATCCTTCACTTGCACATATGAACGACCTAGGTTTTTGAAGATGTGAAAATTGAATAAAACCTCTTCTTATATGCGAGTAAATACAGCATCAGTTTTCAAAATTCTTAATTCGAAGGCTTGTAAAGTAAAGGTATAGAGATGGGATGAACAGCAAGAGTTAACCCTGCCAGTCATGTGACATTATTTGAATAGTCCTGTGGTGTCTCACAGATGCCATTGCTTTTATTTACTTAGTTTTTACATAATTAGGAATTGCTAGACAGCAAATGATGATCACCCCATTTTCAACATAATTCAATTAAAACCAAAAAGTAACAAAATACATGTAATTAATTTTATATATATTTGTTAATGCAAAAAAGTAGTAAAATTTCATATTAAAGTGAATAGACAAAACAATCAAAAATAATAAAATTTAAAAAAAATGCACAAATCTTCAAGTGTAATATGTATAGTTTAAACTTGGCCCACATGCACATTACTATCATCACAATAATTGTAGTGTTGTAATGCTCCAACTAGCATAATTAAATAACTGTTTAGGTCAATATTTTTGGGATGAGTAGTGCTTGCTGGAGATAAATTCTGATAACAAGTATCTCTCTTCTTTCTTTGCTTTGTTTGTTGGTTTTGTATTCTGAATTGTGTGTTTTTTATTATGCACAAATCCAGTGTTCTGACATGCAAAATATTTAACCAGTATTTAAACTGTGTCCTAAAATGGTAATTATTTGAATGCAGTATTAAGTTGCACTGTAAAAATTTCTCTATTTGTGTATGTGAACTTAAACTGGAAAGAAAAATAACAAAAAAAAAGTACAAAATACAAATGAATTTTTTTTGTTATAAATTTCTTTAACATTAAAGTAATACATTATAAATATACAGTTAGAAGCTGATCCTTAGCAGTTTTTTGTATGGCATAGTCATTGACCTTGTTTGTGTGATTTGAATGAGTTTTTATCCCTACAAGGCATGTCTTAGGTAGATCAAAAGAATGGATGTAGTGATTTCTTTAAATTTTATTCAGAAATCCTTTTTCAGAAATCCCATAAGCATTCTGAAGAGACTTGAAGTAAATGCATTGACCCTGCTTTTGTCAGTCCAACACACATCATATGTAATTTCCTCCTAGATACATCTGGTTTTCCTATCCTCTTTGTAGCATTTTATTACTTTTTTCAATTAAACTGAACAAAAATGTTTTTAGATGTCGTAGCCACTTATCTTAAATATGATAAACCTTTCTTTCTCTGAAATTCTCATGCACAAAAAAAAAAGTGTTCTTGCAACACTTCTTATATTGGGACTTTTTTTTGTTTGTAGTTCTTTTGTATTGTTTCCTGTTTTGTGAAACCTTGCATTTGTTTCTAAGTCAACTTCAGAGGGTTTTTTCTCTCAGAAATAGCTTCCTAAATCTAACATTAAATTTGAATACAATGAAATGATCACAAGCTTCATGCAGTTCAGCTATTAACCTATTCCTTGGTATTCCGGATCTCAGGTTCCAAGATCTCGGGTTCACAGGTCAAGGTCAAAACATGGTGACCTTGACCTGTGAACCTGAGATCTTGTTTCTGCATTGGGACATTTTTGATACTAGATGTCATTGGTCGGCATAATTTTTATATTAAAACTAACTTCTGAAATATAATATTTTTGTTTTTACGTTTATTATGTCTATTTTGTTTGTGCAAAATAAAAGAATAATTTCAGATGTTAGAAAAAAAATAATCATGGCTATTGTAAAATGTGGAATTTTCATTAGGCTTAACATTGACAAAAATTAAACATGGGATAGGTTAATTAATGTCATAAGATACGCCTTCTTGCTATTAAAAAAAAAAAAACTTTGTCAATCCAAGTTTATGGTCACTGTATCTGAAAATACAGGTTAATCTTAATTACTACCTTTTTTATATGATCTTGTTTGTGCTTATGCACATACTTCAGAAAAATGTTAATGAAACATCAGTTGGATATGCTCTTGTTCTAAACTGCACAATTGATTTTGTATATTATAAGCTTAACAGCTTCCTATTTCTTTACTTATTACATCATTAAGAATACTGACAAGTTATGAAGTCAGTACATCACTTTGACAGACTGAAATGCATTCCAATTAGAAAAATCCTTATCACCAAATTTCTTACACCAGTGTCAATGTAGTACAAATCATACTACATACAATTGTATCATACAATTGATATTGTAATCATTTGATTTAAATGTAATTATTTCTGGACAACACAAAAAAAAAATGCATAAATATTACTGACTCTTATCACTCAAAGCATTCCTCTACTGAGGCTATATTATGATCTCAGTAGTGCCACTATGCCTGAAGCATCACTGGAAGTTAATTTCAATAAGTTTGTTTAGTACTGTGACCTAATCCAAATTTCTACTTAGAATCTGCCCCTAAAATTCCACTTTCAGCTTTTTGTACAAGTGTTGGGTCTGAGATCTGGAGAGTAGTGGGGATGGTCACTGCATCTATATTGTTAGTAGCCAAAAATCCAAGTTGAAAGGCAAAGTATGCAGGAGTGCTGTTAGGATGGAGCAACCATGTTTTGTTCTGTCTCCTCCTCCTCCTCACATAGTCACTTAAATTTTGAGATAGAAAGCAACATTATTTGGATTAGAAGTAACTACTTATGAATAATTCTCCTGTGATTGAAACAAATTAACATGGACTTTGATCTGCTTTTAGCCTTGCCTTTCTCAGATATGAGGACATGACAGTCGCCCCAATAAACTATAGTTTCTAGGTTGTAGGAATAGATCCAGTTTTTGTCACTTACGATAAAATTGGTCATGGTCGGTAGTCATTACTACTTTTTCTTAGCAGTAAGGAGTCTGGGTATGAACTGACTAACATGATGATTTTAGAATTATTAAAGTACTTAGCAGAATCACAGTATTAAAAATTCATTTAAAGTTAACTAAGTAAAATAATACACACTTTTTTCTTTCATTGTAGATTTTGATATGTTAAGTTTATTTGTCAAATTCATTTGCTTCCTAAAATGTATGCAAATAATAAATTATATAAATGCTTTGTACATATTTTAACTTTTTTGTTACATGCAAATGTTACGTAACATTTGCAATATGTAATGCAGTGTAATTAGATATTTATTATGCCTTACATTAAAAAAAATCATTTGTTGCATTCATGAAAACATTGAATTGACTTTTTTTGAATTATTAAATCTTAACTTCATTTTGATTTGGTGTCAAAAATATTAGAATGACAATAGTATTATGCATTAAAATCTTGTATTTTAACTTTTAAGATTTTGAGGCAAAAGTTAATTTTTAAAAATGTTTGTATATTTTTTTTTAATTGATAATTTTCAATATTGATTATGATTAAATATATTAAGCCTGGTTTAGGTGTGCTTATATTGCTAAATATTAATAATGCATGTCTGCTGATATTTGCATGTATAAAACCAAGAATGAATGTAAGGTGAAGGTGTTGAATAAAAGTTCTGTATTAATAATTTCTTGAATAATCTGTATATTCCTGTGAACTTGGTTGCTATCTTGGGAATGCTATAATCGATATTTAATGCTTTTCTACTTTAGTCTGATCGTGAATCTCCTCTACTATGGGAGCAGCCAGCTTGGAACGTAGACCCGGTTAGTATCTAACATTTCTTATTTTTATTTTCTGCTTGTTTACTAACACACTTGCATGCTGCCAAAAATTTTCAGAATTTAAAAATACCAATATCTTAATGTTTATATTCAATTAAATATCAGATTTCGTTGAAAATTACCAGATTAGATTTGAATTACTTACTGAATTTAAGTCACAGCTATATGTAAATTTTAATCATATAATTATATTGCTATCTGATTATGACCAGTTTACTAATTTTATTAGTTTAATTGTTAAACTAGAAATATAATTCTTAGAATTTTAAAAAATTAATGTTGCTTAGATATTAAATATCAACAGATGGCAAAATTTCTACTTCAGTTAAAGAAATCAATACCAATTTGAAGATAAATTTCTAAATTCATAATGTAAATTTTGATATGTTAAGTTCATTTGTGAAATTCATTTGCTTCTTAAAATTTAGGCAAATAATAAATTATATAAATGCTTTCTTGTACTTACTTTAACTTTCTTGTTACATGACAATGTTATGTAATATTTGCAATATGTAATGCCGTGTAATTGGATTTTTTTAATTCTTTAAATCTGAATAAAATCTTTGAATTACAGCCAAATGATTGCCAGTTACATTGAGTGATATATTAAGATGCTACTAATTGTTGAGTTATAATTAAATAATTAAATTTATCAAGGGATGGTGCCTATGCCTACTTCTAAGTCCAATTAAAATGCTACTAATTAAATGTCAAGTAATCTCTCATATAATCTGGCAATTGCTTGGCTTTAATCTAAATTGGGTTTAGATGTTTATTAAACTGAATTACATTAAATAAAATGGTCTTAATGGATAATTTAAAATCAACTTAGATCACTCCAAATCTGATCTGGTGATTTTTGCAGAATTGTTGATATTAAATATTGAAATATCAAAAGACAATCTGAAATAGATTTTATCAAAATCTGAGAGTTAGTAATTATTAAGAAAATATTAAAGTATCAAGATTTGTTTGCATTGTGTAGATCTGATTTTCAGACATAAGTTCTTCTCATAACAGTTCCAACAATTTCAATTACTTGAAGCTCTGTTTTTATTCTTATTGGTTATAAAAACTTTTCTCAACTGACATTTCAAAATGCATTGCTTTTATTATGTTGTATAAAATATTTTAGTAGAATTGTAGAAGAGTAATTTTAATTGCTGGAAATCTGTGTGATGTATGAGACAAAAAATCTAAGTTTGCTTAAACAAATGAAATTAATCATTTTTTATTCAAAACTACTACTGCATCAAATTTAAATTCTATAAAGCAAATCAATTAATGAAAGAAGGGAAAAATTTACTTACTGGATTTTTGGTGTTGGTGTGTTTATCCCGTGACTTTGCTGAAACTAAGATGACATTGTTTATCAATCAGTATTTTTTCCTGAAAACAATGAGCAACATTATTCAAATTGAACTTTTTTCCAGAAAATAACAGAAGGATGTCATTGTCCACTCATAAGTAGCTTGGATTTAGTTGGTCAAATTTTTAGTTGAAATGTCTGCAGAATTGAGATTTTTGCCACCCATTGCAACAAACCCATGACCTAACTGTGCTTCAAGCTTGTAAATTAGCTTGTGAATGTCTAGAGCTATCTAATAGCTGTTAACTGCGTTTCAAATTCATGGTAACAACTCGGATTGCAAACAGCAGATACTTTCTCTTGCATTGAGCAAATCTATTCCTTTAATTTAAAGCATCTGTTTGCAAATGTAAAATTTCAAGCCATTTACGTTAATGTTATGGAGATGGAAAAACAAATGCTTTGCCACCTATTTCTCTTAAGGCAGTCGAAAAGCAGCTCTCATTTCTTCAATTCAATGGTTGCTGCTTTTATACTGGCAATGAACTGGTCCAAAATAGTGAACTTAGCTCTGAGAATGTAGATTTCTGACTTGCAAATGAAAGATTAATCTAGCACATACTGTGCAGCAATTTAAGACAAATATCCTTTAATTAACCTAACAACATGCATGGCAACACTTTGTTGTTAAACTAATTTTTTTCTTCACAGCTTAAGAATTTCCAATATGATTAAAGCCTATTCCACAATGACTGTTTACCACAAAAGCATTTTTGAGAAATGTAGTCCATATTTTGAGTTGTAGAAACAACCTTATTGACTTCCAGCAGGCTTGGACACAATAAACAGCAAGTCTGTAAACCGAAATGTTGAGAACCTTGTTTTTAAGTCAAATGATTGTCCATTATTTAGGCTACATTACAACCACTATACAAATTCAGTCTTTTGTAGATCAGCATGTTAAAGACCTGATGAGTAATTTCAAAATGTTAATTCACTTAATATTGTTTCTCTGCACAAATGTCATCTATTCATGTAATGCTGGATTGCTTAAATCATACCATGCTTTTCCCATCTGTTTTATACTTTAACTTTGTATTTTTAAAATAATATACTCTATTTTCTACCATTTTCTGCTATTAAAGACCATTTTCTTCCTTTCATTTCAGCTTTAATGTGCTTCAGAGAAGAAACGTTTCTCACATTCTAAACAAGATGTTTAATGAAAATTTAGTTAAAGAATTTAACTAAATATACTTTTAGGAGTGATTTTTTTTTTAAATAAAATACACAATAAAAACCTATTTTTAGATAATTTCATCCAGTAACAATGTTTTAATGAAATACAAATGTTTTTGATCTCTTCCTGATGTCTGCATCAGTTATATCTTTTCCTGTATCTTGAACTTTTAGATAAAACATTTGTACAGGTAGCCCTTGGTTTACGCCGCTTTGCAATTCACCGTTTTGCAGTGTAATTCCCCGATTTTCCGCATGCTAGACTCATTTTCATTTCAGTGTTGACGTATTTACCGAGCCACGACATTGTACATTCATTAAAACAAAGATTTTTATTGAATATATTTATTTTTTCTGTTTAATATTATTGGGTATTATACATTTGCATTAAATTAATATGGCGTCCGAATCCATAGCGCCAATGAATGTATCCCGTATCAGTTCATTCAGGAAAACACCTTACAATGCAATAGCACTTCTGGCGATCACAAACTATCGTTAGTGAGACAAATCTACTTCTCGTTGGCCAGACGATATTTATATATCCTTAGCCACCTTGAATTTTCCCATTCAAACTGACCTTATACCGACCTGTGGTCAACCAATCAGTGTCTTTTCTTGTCTGTAGCTCTACGTGGGGTTAACGTATCCTTTCAACTAAGGAAAGTTTGACGGATTAACTTTGTGAGTTAGACAATGATTGGAAGCAAAGTGCAAATGTAAAAAGGAGTATCATATTTGACCATATTCAGAAATTCTCAATGAAAGAAAACAAAAATGTAAACAATTAAAGATGGATACTTTTTTTGAAAAATTAAGAGATCCGAAACTAAAATTTTTTAATAAAAACATTTCTTTATTTTATGATAAAATACATTTTTAAAATTAAATTTATTTGTATTTTGTAGTATAGTGTATTAATAAACAAAATTATTTGCTGATTTTTTACTTATGGAGAACCTAACCGTATACCTCACTGTAAATATGGGCTTGTTTTACGCAGATTTGATTTGCGCCGGCTTTTGTTGGAACGGAACTGCGGCATAAACAGAGGGCTACCTGTATTTTGTTAAAATGTTGTTACAATAAAACTTAAATCCTTTTAGTATTTTGTTAGTATTTTTGGCAAAACTGTTCAGTTTGCCAAAAAGATTCCTCTGCAAACTAACCAGAAACAGATTCCTCTGTAAATTATACAGTTTGCAGAGGAAACTGTATAGTGTGCAGAGGATTTTTCTTTTTAAACTTTATCTTGATTGGTTTTCATTAATAATTTCATATTAACTGAAAGCTTAAAAACTAGCAAAATTGTTAGTAGTCAAATGTTTTCATCTACTTTCAATTGGCCATATTCATGCTACAGATCAAATTATAACTGCATGATTTTTGAATGATCCAATACTTGTGTTATATGACCTATTTTGTTTACCACTTAGCACACAATATTGTGATAGTTGAAAAGAGCACAAAATACTCAATTAACTCAGATTTTATTTTAAATCTGATTTTACGAAAGAAAAAATGAAGTTTATTTTATACTGTGACAAAAGTAGAGCTACCAAAGGAGGTATGCAGATTTGTCCAGTATTTTTAGGACAAAATATTAGTCTTTTGTGGCATAACCAGAACTTCTGATCACTGCATCACCTCTGTTCCATTGAATCAACTAAGTTGTCAAGCAGTGATTTGGGAGTCTCATACCATGCTTTTTAATGATAGGCCACAATTCATTCAGATTCAAATATGTATGCTGGCTTATACTGCACTCAACTTCATCCCAAAGATTCTCTATGGTGGTTTAGTTAGGTCTGATGATTGGCCTGGCCATGTCATAAGATTTACCCCTTTTCTGTTAAAACCATTGCTTTACCAAATTGCTGTGTTTTGGGTTGTCATCCTGTTGGAAGATCCATTTCCTTGGCATTGAATGAATTGCATGAGGAAGCATTTGATTCTGCAATATGGCCTGATAAACGGTTTGATCCATTCTATGAATTGGACAAATTACCTTTGCAGAGAAACATCCCCATACCATTATGCAGCCACCACCATGCTCTATTATATAACTATGTATTTTGGGTCCTATCTCATGTTTACTGATTGTCTGACATATCGTATACCATCACAGTTGTCTGACATCATATATCATCACTAGAGAAGACACTGAATTTATATTCATCACAGTTGTCTGACATCATATATCATCACTAGAGAAGACACTGAATTTATATTCATCACTCCATAACACCTTGGACCATTTTTGTTCGGTCCAAGTGATGTGTTCATGTGCAAAGTCTAATCTCAACTTTTTGTTTCTTGCAGAGATGTGGTTTCTTTGCTGGTCATCTCCATGTAATCCATAACTAGTGAAATGTCTTTGTACAGTTTTTAAGCTTATATCTAGGTTACTCACTTCACATTTAATATGTGAAGC